GGGAATCATGCTGCATCACGATAACGCCTCTTCACATACCTTCCTTAGAACAAAAGCATTTATTGAGGAATCAGGTGCTGAAACTCTAAGTCACCCACCCTACAGTCCTGACAGGACAGAAAGGAGCTAATCCATGTGATTTCTTTTTGTTCCCAAGAGTCAAAGAAAAAAAAGGCAAGCTTTTTTCAAGCGCTGAAGAAGCTGTGGCTGCCTACGAAGAAGCGATTTCCAACCTGTCAGATCAAGACTGGCAAAAGTGTTTTCAAAGTTGGTTTAGGCGAATGGAAGTTTGTATAGATCATGATTGAGAATATTTTGAAAACATGTAAAATAAATATTAATAGTATCTAGAATACTTTTTGTATATTTTAAAACTTATTAAGTGTCCTGCGTACAGTGCAATTACAATACAAGACATTGCAATACAAGACTTTTCGATTCATGAAATTGCTTAGGTGAAAGAATCTACCCAGGATTGATTGCAATGTATTACATACGCCATTTATGTGTACTTTCCAGTTCAGATTACTATTTACTGTCAACCTAAGTATCGGTATTTATCTACTACATCTATGTTTTGTATTTGTGCACTGCCAGCCAGCTTTATTGAGGTGTAGTCGTATGTATGACCAATTATATTTATGTTTAATTTACCTTGCTTAAAGACGTTACTGTGGGGTGAACTTATGTACATAGCCTTTGTTTTAGATAATTTTATAATTATACCGTTATCATGTGTCCATTTAATTGTACTTTCAAATTCCTCCTGTATGTATAGTAATACTGCTAACTATCCGAATTCAAAGATTGTTTTAGCATTTTTCGTAGTCGTCTCTTAGGACACCCTATTTCTTTTATTAGCGCTCAACCACCGCAGAGTCACCTGATAACGATGCCTGATTCAGAGGGAAAACACATGGGGTATTGTACCCTTCAAAGTAGATAAGACACATGATTTTATTAGATCATATTATATCTTAGCATATTGATTTTTAACATAGTAGCATATTGATTTTTAACATAGCTATTAATTATAATAAATCGCATAGAAGCGCCTTATTCTGCAAATTTAGATATAAATATTGCGAAATTCCTGTGTTGTGAGGCCTTTATCACACATGTATTGTTCTTTGGCAAATATCCAGACAAGGTACATAAATTTAAAAAGTACGCAGTAATATAAAGTCAATAACCCGAAACAATTATTTGTACCTTAAAAAAAACACTTGTTTTGTGTGAAACTCAAAACCGCGGCTCGAAGTGTAACAACTGAAATCATACGTAAATAACAACTTAAATGCTAAGAAGTACTTTTTATTACGTTAAAGTTTAACACAATGGAACTAAAGCTAAACAATCCACCTGGCGGTAAGAGATGGATATATGCAACCAACTTCAAACAAAGAAGATATGCACATTGCCACCTCCGAGGACATTTATGAATTGCGAATATACACTTACTCTATAGATACACTAAGAGTATATACAGCAAGATTTGACCAGTAGTTTTTAAGTTATCCTTAATAATGTGTATTTAATTGACTTCGACTACATTGATGATGTTCTCATTTTATTTATATTGAAATCGGTTGTAAACAAAAAATTACCATATTTCGTTATTACTTAGCTCGTAAAAGTCTACAGCTGGATTCTCCCAGGTAGAATTTGCCTTAATGGTCACGCTTGTCCGACAGATAGCCGATAACAGTATCAGACGTTTACGCCTTGACTCATCACACATATCGCACGTCGATATTTTACGTTATCTTTCGGAAGTTACAAGACCTTTCTGGCATATTCCATAGTCTCCATTTACGACGCCTCCGGAACGAAGAATGACATAGATTCTCTTGGGCTGCCGCTACAAAAATATTAGCACTGTTATTATTATTACCGCTAGCAATATTCTGGATGCTTGTGCTAGGAGTAGTTATTTATTAATGTTAATAACAGTAAGCGAATGGTGGATAAAGCCCATGACTTTTTAGTTTCGCAGTCTACTCTTTTAGTGGCATTGGGAAATCCATAATTCCATTTCGACCTGCGGAACCTCATGATTACTGATTAGATGGCTGCACAACAAAGCCGTTTAAAGAATAAAATTATCTAGACCGGCAAGGCGAAGCAGTTTCAAAAGTGCAAGACGTCTGTTACTGCCATTGCCAATCCGCCTGCCAAGCGTGGTAATTACGGCAAATCCTCAACGGAGAGTTCCTTATCCAGCATTTTTGTAGCAGATTAAAAATTAAAATTCTTTTTATTCTCACGCGAAGGAGAACGCAAATACGCGGCCACAAGCCCTGCACCCTCCGCCAGTACGTGTGTGTTAGCGAACGTGCGGCCTCTATCGGGGCCGGTGGCCACAGCGCAGTCAGATGCAATTTTTTTAAAGGAAAATGGTGACAAGCGAGCATACAGTTCACCTGATGGTAAGTGGTTGCTGTGTCCCATAGACATCTACATCTATCTACGTTTGCGAACCAAAATGCAGATGCGTTGTCAGCCGTGAGGACTAAGATAGCCACTTTTCCAGTAAAAAGGGTCTCCGGTTCTCTACACTTACCATAAGAAACACAACAGCATGAAGCTGCTACTTTGCGCTGGTATTCTGTGAGAGCTTGGTTCTTCCCCGGTCGAGCATCGAAATCGAAATCAAAGATTAATAATACCGCCGGCGCTCATGTAAAATGCGGCAACAAATACTACGCCGAAATCGGCGTACCCGAGCCAGTCGCGTTGTAGGCAACGTGTGAGGTGAACGTACCGAATGTTTTATTAAATTTTGATCATAATCCGAAGTAAAATACCAGTTTACGCATTGAAACTGTGTAAAAATAATACTACAAGAAATAAGAAAGACACCGGAATCACATACTATCATTAAGTATCATACAATTTCGAAATTTTAACATAAAATAACACGAGCCATAATAAGTCACAAAATATCAATGACGCTATTCAGTGTTTATTTTTTTATTTTTATAGGATCGAGTGACAAACGAGCACTCAGTCCACCTGATGGTAAGTGGTTACTGTGACCCATAGACATCTACATCTATCCTCAATAAAGACTCAAGATGCAGATGCGTTGTCACTTGTCACCCGTGAGGACTAAGATGGAATGTCATCTTAGTCCTCAGGGGTTTCAACGCATCTGCATTTTGATTCTTAACCGAGGATATGTCTATGTCTATGGGCCACAGCAACCACTTACCATCAGGTGGACTGAGTGCTCGTTTGTCACCCTGATCCTATAAAAAATATCTCAAAGTCAGTTATTCCATACAAAATTTCGTACAAACTTGCTAAAAATGTATGGAAGACCTGATTTTTCTTGCGATTTGGAAGATAGATCTATAGTAAAAGTTGTTCATATTGACGCGTAGAATAGAAAGCACTATTTTGATTACACCATATATATATATATATATAACAATTTTTTTAAATAATTTGTGAATATTAGTTAGACATGTAAATAAAAAAATTAAACTGATAAAAAGGAGGCCTTATCATTTATATGTAATTTATTCAGAAGAAAAACCTATACATAATATACACAAATATATTGATACATTCGTTATTAATAAACTATTAATTTTTAAGTTTTCTGGAATACATTCCTAACTATGAACTTAACTACTAAGCCATAGCATAAAATAAATTTTCCCGTTAATCGGGTAATAGTTAAGCTGCTGGCATATACAATTTTTCACGCACACTAGCATCATGCAAATTGTCTTATACACAGTACAATATTAAGATGCCGCATTCATGGAGCTGTTACTTGCAGGGAGCGCGGTATCTAGTCAGAGCGCGGTATCTAGTCAGAGCGCGCGATGACTTATCATAAATCTATGGCTGGAAATATTATCCTTTATTTTGATTTTTGACTTCGTCACGGTTAGCCATGTTGACTGGCATCTGACATCTGATCGTAGCACAGACACCACAGCGAATAGAACTTCAGGACGCCATTGCGATCGTGGTGGTATGTTTTTGCAGCGGCTCGCGGTCAGTTAGCCGCCACCGCAAACCACTCGTGTATGGGAGACGCTTAACACTTTTCCAACCGCATCATGTGATTCAGGAATGTAGCCGTTTAAAATAAATAAAATTATATATACACTACACTAAAAACCCGCAAAGAAACTAGCGATCTACAAATATTTATATCCGCAAATGAAACACGCCGCATACTGAGCCCCTACGCGTACCTATTCAAAGATGGCGGCCAGTTTCGAAGCGGCCCTTACGCCACAGGTAAACGAAGATTTCGTTAAAACTTAGTTGCTTTTGTGCGTGACAAAGTAGAGTGAATATCAAAGACACTTTAATAAAGGCTTTTTATGTAATTTCCCTATAATTATAATATATTTTTTTTACTATCGCATTTCTTACTTTACGCATTAGTTTGTAAAAAAAAAACTCTGTCCTAGAAAGAGTCAGCAAGAAATCTATTTAAAATATTTTTATAAAGCTCCATTTTTTTTTAAATTTATCTTAGGTATAAGCCAGTGTCACAATCCCACTCCCCTATTTAATTATTCTGTTTCTTACGCGTGTCCCTATCACTTGATTAATTTCTTACTTTTATTATCTTGTTGCTCCACTACGGGACAGTAAAAGATGCAAATTGAAAATAATATGTAAAGAAGTATCGACTGGACACTTTATGACTTGGTAACCAAAATTTACGCAACGCCCTTAAATCATGACGCAATAATTCCACTCATACCAAAAACATTCTTCGAATCTTGAAAAAGAACACCAAACTGATATCGCTTATCGTTATTATAAATTTGTGAGAAACGCTCACCACATTGATATCTTATACTTGATAAAAACGTATAATAATAAAGGTGTGGTGTAGTGTGGCAGCATAGATACAGGCTGCTAAACCAACGTTTAGTTATTACGTTTGTGTACACTGTAGACGCTGCACGTCGTTTGTGTGTTTCAATGTGTGCGTAACTCATCGCTGTGTGTGTAACCGTGGTATAATGTTGACATGTGTAGTAGTGTGCGTGCTCGCGGCAGTTGCGCACGCGCAAAACAATCCACAAGTGAATACAACCCAAGGATGGATAGAGGGCTCCGTGGTACCTGAAGGCAATTATTATGCCTTCTATGGTATACATTATGCGGGTTCGGTGTCGGGGAAAAATAGATTTAAGGTGATTTTATTGTGTTATGTTTGTCACAAACACGTTTAAGGCGGCAGCTAAATTAAAAAAATGAATGTACAGTTGACGACATACTCTATCGAATATATTGATTAGGGCATTATCATATACTAGTGTGATAACATACCGTGAGTATAAATTTAAAAAAAAAAACATGCGTGAGTGTCGTGGAACACTCGGTTGGAACGAAGTTCCTTTCATAGTATATTATTATTGATAAACGTATTATATTATTGATTAACAAATATAAATAAATTATTATTAGCGTCTATTAAAATGAAGCGTCATTTAAAATAAAATACACTATGGCACAAGGGGTAGTGACGAAAAAATCTTACACTTTTTGTCGCCTAGCTCCAATCCGCCAAACCCGTACCGTCCGATAAGGAACTTCGTTCCAATAAATGAGCGATATAGACGATAATGATAATCAAATATTATTGCTATCAGTGGCCATGCTCAGGATAACGTAGGTATAAGTTTTTGCAGACTAATTTTTTTCCGTTCAATCGGGTGATGGGTCTAGACAATGGTATGACAACCTTTGCCGATAATTTTATACCTGCTTCAACTTTAAGCCGATTTCAACTATGGTGGCATCTTGTGAATAATTTTGAAATGTTCAGCTATCAACTGTGCAGAAGACTTTTGCATTATTCCTTATATTTAATTAGGCCATAATACAATGTTCCATAAAATTTATAAAATACGATAGAAGTCAGGCTAAGGTTCAATGTTAATCCAGACACAAACTACAATTAGTGGTTTTGACCAATAATGAAAAGTTAGTAAAATATAATGACGTCTTACTTAAAATTCCCCGAACTCATAGCAATAAAATCCAAAAGCAGTATTTGTTGTTGTTCTATTGCGTGTACTTAGCACACGTGCAATCAATGAATACATTCATTAAACTTTCTAAATAACACATCTTGTATCTTATGTTTGTTTATGTTTGGAAAATAAAATGTCGAAATTGAATAAAACTATGTTGACGGATTTGATCGCGTTTAATTTTCTTATTTTTTAATTCCTGACGTTTCGAGTATTATAGTAACCCACGGTCACGGGGGCACTGAGCAGTATGACGACCCGATATCATAGGTAGCCCGGCTATCTTCAGTTTTTGAATATTAATTTTTGGTTCGATTTACGCACAATGAGCTTACAGTATCTTGAAGTATTGCAGCGGTTTGCTTGGGTATGGATTTCATTGTGTTAATTATAGGATCCCAAGCAGATGGCACCCCTCCATCTTCTCTATTGAAATTAGGTTTTTTTTTTAATTTCAATAGCCTCGCGTATCATCCTTGGTAGCAATCAGTGTTCTTTTGCGAGGAATTGTGGTCTATCAAATTTAATGTAATAGTGGGGGACGATATTGAACATATTCACAGACTGTAGACTTCCCAGAACGTAGGTGCTTCACGTCAGCTATATGTTCCTTCACGCGAGTTTTAATCTATTATATTTAATATAATAATCAATTAAGAATTTAAAAATCAATTGCTGTCCGTTAGTCTCGCTAAATCTCAAAAAAGCTCGAACGACTTAGATGAAATTTTTTCTGAGTGTTTGAATGGGTCCGTAGATGGTTTAGGTTCACATTTAGACCCGGTAGGTAGCACTGTTGCCGCGATCCAAAAATCACCCGTGCGAAGTCCGGGCGGATCGATAGTATTAAATAAAGAAAGCTTCACATCTATTCCACCATACATTACCATTAATGCCTATCAAAATTACACAGTGGGGGATAATTGGCATAGTTGCCACGCTTGGCGGGCTGTTTGGCAATCGCAGTTTTCTTGTCGATTAACTTTTAATCTGAATATCTATATCTTTTCTAGAATGTGAAATTATTTTGTTCTTTTTAGTTTTTTGATGGCGCGGGTTTATTTTTTACCCTTTTGTGTGGACTAAGAAATGTCAATGTTAATATCGTTTTACAATTGACAAAGATATCGCGTAAACTATACAAAAACACAGTCGAATTCTAAACCTCTTCCATTTTTAAAGTCGGCTAAAAATATAAGTTAAACTTGAATACTTTATTGCTTAGCATATAAGCACCTACCACAATGAAACCAACTGTCTTATTCTTCGATATATTACATATAAACTCCTCAAAAATTTACTATGAGATAACAATAACTAACTTTAGATTTATTTTCACGACAACCACTATTAAATGTGATTTACTTTTATATTTAATTTGAGCCCTCACTAAAAGAGGCTTACTTAATCGTATGTATATTTTTTTCAGGCTCCCCCTCCTCCACCGACTTATCCAGGCGTCTTTCACGCGATCGATAGCAGCGTGGTATGTGCTCAGCCAACGTCTCGCGGTCTTGTCGGAGTTGAAGACTGTTTAACTCTCGACATATTTACATCCAATCTTAGCGCTTCCCAACCTGTACTGGTTTGGATTCAGGGTGAAGAGTTCACAACGTCGGACCCAACGCTAAACTCCTTTAAAAATTTTATAGATGAAAAAATTGTGGTTGTAAAGATAAACTATCGCCTTTCCATTTTCGGATTTCTTTGTTTAGGAGTCGAACAGGCACCAGGAAATGCCGGATTGAAAGATGTCGTTCAAGGATTAAAATGGATTAACAAAAATATCGCTGGGTTTGGCGGAGATCCAAATAATATAGCACTATTCGGCCACGGATCAGGAGCAGCTATGGTCGATCTCATCACTTTGTCACCTATGGCCGAAAATTTAGTACATAAAGCAATCGTTCAGAGTGGATCAGCTCTGTCGCCAGGAGCTATAGCTTACGATCCTGTTGGTTACGCGGAAGCTTTAGGTGCTAAACTTGAATACACTGAAAAATCAAGACCAGAATTAGCAAAATTACTCTCCAACACAGATGTAAGCCTGTTAGCTGGTGCACTAACCGATTTTGAGTTATTTAATAATACGGCTTTGTTTGCTCCTTGTATTGAAAATAATATCGATGTTAACAATACAATTCTTAGTGATGCTCCAATTAATATATTACGTTCTGGAAATTATAGCCATATACCTTATATTGCTGGTTACACAAATAAGGAAGGAACTATAAGGGCTTTTGAGGCAGCTTACAATCAATGGTTGGATAAAATGCAGGCCAATTTCGAAGATTTCATTCAAGTAGATTTAAATATTACATCAAACTCAAACAAAACAAGAATTATCAATTCCATTCGTGAATTTTATTTTTCTCAGAGAAACATAAATATGGAGACTATTGAAGATTATTTAGACTATCACGGGGATACAATGATACTCGTGTCAACAATCAGAGGTGCATGGGAAAGAGCTCTCACTTCAAGAGCAGAAGTCAGACTTTATGAGTTCGCTTACAGGGGCTCTTATAATTCCGACTGGACTTTACCGCAAATTCCGTTGACAGGTGTGAGACATGGCGGCGTCCTCAATTTTCTATTAAATTACGATTTAAAGCCAAACGATAAAACAATGATGCAATGGCTAATTACACGATATTCGTCGTTCATACGAACTGGGTAAGTGAACAGAACAGTTACTATATTTTGTGCATCTACAATGAAAAAAGTCAAAAGGTATTTCAATTGGAGTAGATCTTAAAGATATACTGCCATCCCTAGAACACTAAATTCATCTAAATTTATTACGATCAACATCAGTCTTTTTTAAGTTTACTGCTGGATATAGTGTTTTTTTTTTCATTAATGCGTAAAATTTCGACTATTTTACCATATTTACGACGCTTATAGCAAGCGGTTTTATCAGGGCGGCTTCGATATTTTCACACTGGTGATGCTGTTATCCACCACCAGCATTTTGAGTGATGTTTTGTAAGATGCTAGTGGTAATGTCAAATATTATATAATTATTATTATATAATAATTGATGTAAAGATATCGAACTGTCACTAAACCGATTGTGATAGGAGCAACTGAAATACTTTCTAAAACTATCAATAGCAACATAAAGGAGTATAAATTCCAATACGAAACATTGTAAGTTAACTGCTACAACGTTATGCATTAGGTGTTAAGTTTTCCAATAAGACGTATATTACAACTTAGCTACCATCTTCGGGTATTATTATAATATTTTTTATATTATATAAGGCTGTTTTTAATTAAATATGTAACTGATGTTAAAGTTACATACTTAATTAAAGTTATGAAATAAAGGTGTTAATTTTAAGAGTTTAAGCAATTATTTAAAATAATACTGTAGAAACAAGCCGCGTATTAATCAGCATTGCACTCCGTAATCTTCTATAATATAAAAATGAATCGCTGAATGTGTTGCTAAGCGCAAATCTCGAGAGCAGCTGAACCGATTTCGCTAATTTTTTTTATAATATTCCTTGAAGTACGAATATGGTTCTTACGGAGATAAAAATTTAAAAAAATGCCTGAAAAAGTCTAAAAACATCACTTTTCTATATTTCCATACAAACATTTTCGTAATAATACTTAAAAATTTGATAATATGTATGTCTCATCCACTTTTGCTTTATTCCAGTTCACCAAATAAACCAAATTCAGTTGAATGGCTGCCAATTAGAAGCAATGCGTTCAATTACTTGTTGTACAGCGGCGAAGAAGTGTCTGCGAATGTGTCAGTCGCTTACGAAAGCCCAAGAACAGACCCCCATCAGCAAAGAATGACGTTTTGGAATGATAAGTACATAAACTTTTACAAGGCTCCCGCTCCAGTATCGTCGGTAGGACGAATTACAGCCTTATTATTTATAGTGGCACTCTGCCAAGTATTAATAAATTTCCTGTAGACTGTATCTTTACATTTTATGGCTTTTTAACGTATTTTTAATGTAGTGATAGACGTTTAGAGTGGGGACAGACTGGTCCCACATACGCAACGTATGCGATGTAACGCTCCTAAGTCGTCGGTGTACACACTTGACCTACGCATGTTTCCTATCTTAACATAACTAGGATAAAAATACAAAAACTACTTTTTTTAATTTCGTGCCTTGACCTCTCCCTTACACGTCAAATAACAAAAATGTTAGCAGTAGTAGTAGTGTAGTAGGTAGATAGATACTTACTAGGTTTAAATTGTAGTTTTGCTACCTCTTCCCATACTGTAAGACGTAATTTAGCATCGCGATATTCTACACATTGAATATTATAAATACATTCGTATCATCTTTCTACATCGATTAGCTGTTTATGTTCCATTTTGATAACAAACATTTTACGTGGTAGAGCCACGCTGCAGCAAAAAATGATGGTTGTAGCACGAATGGGTCGGCTCTCACTGAATACGAACGTAAAATACAAGGTTGATGCTGCTGTGTTTCGTATGGTGTATGTAGAGAACCAAATACCCTTTTACTGGAAACGAGGCACTCCATCTTAGTCCTCAGGAGTAACAAGGCATTTGCATTTTGATTCTTATTCGAGGATAAATGTAGATATCTATTGGCTACAGCATCCACTTACCATCACGTAGACTGTGTGCTTGTTTGTCACGCATATTTTATAAAAAAACGCTTGCACTGTGCAAAGGTATATTTGTTCATGGCGTGTTCTGATGCGTAAGTTCTAGGAAGGCATAAGATTGCGTACGAACATCCCCTCTCCGATCGACGTTGCGTCGGACGCGTGTGATTGCGCTTTTTAAACGAAATCAAGAGTCCAGACGTTATAATGTGTTGCATACGTTGCGGATGTGGGATCAGTGTGTCTCTACCTTTATTAGTGTGTTTGTAATATATTACCAGTAAGTATTATGTACTATGAAAGAAGAAACTTTAGTGGGGTGTATTTTACCATTGACTTTTGAAAATATTGTTGTGTGCCTTTAATTTGTTTTAAATTAAATAAATTTGTTATGCTTACTCTGACAAATATTATTAATTTACCTTTGTAGAGCAAAATTGCAAGATTCCAAGGGAGCAAATGTTTAATGTAACTTTTATTATAAAAAAAAGTAAAAAGTGACCCCAATACACTCACTTCTAAGAGGATTTGGAAGCTTGGAAGAATCCACCGTGGGGCCCCGATGCGTGTTGACTTCATTAAAATTTTATCAACATATTAACCTCTCACCTATTTGTGCTGTCGACAGCAGTGCATGCACTATTACGTTCCAGTGTGAAAGGTGTAGAAATATAATAACAGGCTGTGATTCCGTCTTAGTTCTGAGAGGTGACGACGCATCTGTAGCCTGATTTTTATTTGAAGTTAGTTGCATGTGCCCATGGCTTGCAGTAACAACTTACCATCAGATGGACTAATATTTCGTTTGTCATTTCAGTATTTTTTTTTTATTTACGCAACATAATACACAATATTTTATTATATACAACATTAAAAACTATCATTAAAAAAAAACTAAAATTAGTAACTTACTAACTGTATGATAATTCATACAGTCCTACTCCCCGCGGTATCGTGCCAAGAACGCTGTCTGCGTTTCCCCGCTAAATGGTTATACTTATACTTAGCCTTTGAGCGAGTGAGCCAGCCCACTTATCACCAGCAGCAACGATCAGCCGCGGATGGGGTTCGTTTAGGAACTTCAGCGCACGTGGAGTTAAATAAAAAAAATATACATGTACATTTCTCAGAAATACAGGTTTCCGAGCAAAACTTTCCTTCATTGCTGCATTTGCTCATAAAATTGCAATCAACAATTTTATTAATGCCGACAGTGAGCGAACTCGATTTTCTCGTGGACTATGAAATGTGTGATGATTATAAATACAAATACTCCCTACAACGTGAGAGTGTGTTTTTTTAAAATATTTTTGTGCCTGAGTATACGTTTAGTTCATTCATCTTGCCTATTTCTGCCACCAAGCAGCAGTGCATCCATTCCTAAATTATGGTTTGAAGGATAAAAGAACAAGTGTAATAATAACTAGCCGTGAGACATTTCGTCTTGGTTATCAAGGATCACAAAGCATCGGTAGTGTCTTTGGCGTTGACTGCTTGTTCAGTTTCATTGGCCACTTATCGTCACACGGATTGCTAGCTCGTTTTGAATATATAAAAGATATCTAAAACTGTTGACAACGATACGCATAAAAAAAACTAAGATTACTAAGTAAGCAAATTTTTATAAAGTTTTTTTAAGTTAAATCACAAACAAAGGATTTTTAAATATATAATAAACTATAAGTAACAACATCTTTTTCTTCTCATTTCTACTTACTCGTAGTTTGAAAATTTTAAAAATTAAAATCAATCAGATCCTGTTCATGTACACAGGTAAATCTCGCGACAAGCTTTTGTGTAGCACGAATGGGTCGGCTCGACCGGGGAAGGACTACGCTCTCACAGAACACCAGCGTAAAATAGTAGCTCATTGCTGCTATGTTTCGTATGGTGAGTGTAGAGAACCGGAGACCTGTTTTACTGGAAGAGAGGCATTTCATCGTAGTCCTCAGGGGTGACCACGCTTCTGCATTTTGATTCTTAATCGAAGATAAATGTAGATGTTTATGGGCTACAGCATCCACTCACATCAGGTGGGCTATGTGCTCGTTTGTCACATCCATTCTATTAAAAAAAAAAGATTACATTTACTAGCTTTGTTCAAAATTGTCAATAATAATTTTACAATAATACTAGCGTAAGTTAAAATAGTAAATACCCTGTTGTTTTGTATAGTGACTGTAGAAAAACCGGAGACCCTTTTTATTGGTAACGAGGTATTTCATCTTAGCCTTTAGGAGTGACAATGCATCCGGATTTTGATCCTGAATATATTATAGACGGAGGTCTACGGCCCACAGTGTCCACTTTACCACCAGCAGTTTTATGTGCTCGCTTTTCGCGCTTACTTGTATATATAAACTACCAGAAAATGCCGCTCACAAAATGGACTTCACATTCATAATAACAAATGTTGCCAGGACAATGGTTAAATTATATACTTATTTTTACAATTAATTGTACAAACAAATAAAATTACACAGTTAATCACTTGACACTTGTAGGAAGTAAGATTTTGATTAAAAGGCAGTGAATAAATGAATCAGCTTAATATACCTGAGCGGAGTTTGCAATAGGCACATTTTGTTATATTGTCATACATAACGATGTGGACAAAACGGTGAGCCTGATGTGAACTCCCATTGTGCATTCACGCAAACAGTAAAGAGTAGCCACGTCTCGGGGCTTTAGAGAAAATTTTAACTTTCATTAATTTAGAACAATATAAAGATTTCTAAAATAATTACAATGTCTAACAACCTTTAAAGTTCTGAAATTGGCTCTACCATTAAAATTGCCTGTTAATTTTTATGGCTGTCGTTATTTATAAGTCTTCATCTATTAAATTGCTTTTACTCTTTACAGTAGAAGCCTGTTACACGAGAATCGATGAACTTTTAAGGCCTTCTTAATTGCTTTTACGGAATATTTGCCTATCAAAAAGTTATATTTCAATTTATACGTGTGTAGAGCCACGCCGTAGCTATATTATGGCTGTATCACGAATGGGTCGGCTCGACCGAGAAAGAATAACGCTCTCAGAGAATACCAGCGTAATAGTAAATAGTAGCTTAATGCTGCTGCGTCCATGGGAAATGAGGCATCCCAACTTAGTCCTCAGGGGTTACATATTGGTTTTAGGTCGAGGATGAATCTATATATGTACGGGCCACAGCAACCACTAGCTAACAGGTGAACTGTTTGCCATCAGGTGAACTGTGTGCTCGTTTATCGGCCTTATTCTATAAAAAGTTAATCCATTGTTAGTAATTAATCATGGAAATAAAGAAAGGTAACAAAAAATTTCCAAGTACTCGTAAATAGTTGACTTCAGATTATTTACTTGTTAGTACATAATTTACGGATGGCCCCTAACCACCTGTTACCACCATAGGTCAGGATTACCAAAACTAATAAATATTTAATATAATATTTTATTTTAAAGACACTGGTGTGAATCAAAAAGGTTACGTAGTTTTAGTGAGCTTCACCAGTAGGTAAAAATTTCGCATTCAAATGATATATCTATTATAAAAGCTTATTTTACGTACATCACACTAGTTTTTGTTTCAAATCAATACATGCGGTAATGCCACACGAGTAAAGATACGGTTTCTTTCTACCGAAGTTATTTCCTCCCAGAAGTTCGGAGCGAATTTTCAAATCCCGGGACTTCACACGCTCGTGGTGAGATGTCGTTTCCCGCGTTTCTCACTGCTCAGCAATTCAACTACGTATAGACTTAGAATATACTTTACATTCTCCTGTATATGCTAAGTCTATGCACCTACGTACCTACACAATGGGCGAACACGCTTGTTTTTCCGCAATTGTTTTTCCGACCTAGTGTAAAATGTTTGTAAGATCTGTTGTAAAGGGCTTTAATTTTAACAATTTAACATGAAACTCGGCTATGTAAAAGGTCAATCTGACAGTTTACCTAAAATAAATAGTTTTATGTTAGCTGAATATTTCTTAAAAAATAGTGACTATGGCAGCCGAAGTGAGTGGAATAAAAATGCAAAAAATGTAAATGCAACCGTAGAAAGTTTGTTAGGAATATTATGCTAGGTACAGACTTACGCAACGTAACGTACAATGTGTGGACGCAGCGCGCGCACGACCCGAACATGTAAATACTGGCATCTGTTCCCGGCGTGCTGAGAATACGCAAAAATAATTGAGTGCGACGACCAAATGGTAACTATGACGTCTGAAGTCTTAAAAACGCCGATTTTTTTTGGAGAAATCCTTTCTGTCATGTAATGATGTTAATTCTTGTTGTAAGTTCAATTGTTGTATAACATCGAATTAAGCTGCACAT